ATTTTTCATAGCAGTTTTCAATAACCAGAAATTAATCTATACCAAAAAACATCACTTTGTAATTTTTTTTAAATAATTGCACCAATGAATATTCTCAATCAAGAAAGCTAACAAATGAAAATATGTGATCTAAAAATCACAAATAATGCATTCAATTGCCTCAATTTTGTGTACATTCATTATCACGTGGAACACACAAAATGAAGTTGCAGCTAGTGTTAGCCGAAGACAGAAAATTGGTATTCCCCTCAGACGCGCCAGGCTCGGCCACTCCCTCCCACGCCCCATTCTTGTGTAAGCTGGTGACTGGTTGCCACACAGAATGCTAATTTTGAAGCATTGGGTCTAAGGGTAAAAGCAGTAAACGCAGTGAGAGCCAAGACTTTGACCGGGGATTCTTGTGACCAAGTAAGGATCAACTGGTCTGGTGGATCCCAGTTAGTAACACAATTTAGTTAATAAAAGCACCGATATATAGTGTTGTGGTTCTTTTTATTTCGCGTTTAACGTCCCCAGTAGATGATCGTGTGTGTTTTTCGTCTAAAATAACAACGTAAATATATTTTATTGTTCATAATGTGTGTGTATTCCACAGGACAAGGAGTGTCAGTAAACTATAAGATTTTTCACTTCTGTGTCTTATTTATGGGTTTTCTCTAGATTTGTTTTTTTGTGAATCGGTCTGTTCTCTTATTGGCAATGCATGACCAAAAAGTTGATCTATAAAACAAAATGCCCAATATGATAATTTGTTACAATTACAGCAAAGCGGGCATATATGCACTTTACCAACTTCGTGGCAACTACTTCGTGGCTCGGCGAACTCTGTGGCTGTGGCCGGCTGTGGCTGTGGCTGTGGCTGTGGCTGGCCAATGGTGATATTTTTCGCAGTTCTTACCATGGTATGTGAAAACACACGAATTTTCAAGTACTACAATAAAAAATCCGAAAAAGAATGGAGTATAAAGATATAGATGGAACTTGGACGTTCACTTGTACAGCCATACATTTCACGTCATGATCGTCTTTTGCAACGTAAAATGTGAGAAATTATAACTCAAATTTGTTGGCAAACCATCTTCAGATACACACTCAAACACGAAAAGCCTTATGTGAGGTGTGCCCGAGAACTGCAGATAGGAAAAAAAATTAAATGCATCAACTGCGCCAAACATATTTGCACAAATCATGCAAAATTCATTTGCGAAAATTATATTTAAATGTAACAAGTATTACCCATTACAGTGTATATTTTCATATACGTGATCTTTTATAAATATAATTACATGTTCTTTATGAAATTTCATTTTATAAAACGGGCTCTACCCGGACCCTACCAGTCAAGGAGAGTAAATATTTTTCACCAGACCAAGGGTTAATGCTACTGATGACGCTTTGCTTCATTTATGAAAAACAAATATATAACAGAAGAATGTTGAATACACGTAATTTTTTAAAAGAGTTTTCACCACTTTAAATTTGTAAATCACTGTAACACAGGTATGTGTAAATATATAAATTGAAGTCGAAACTACTACATGATTAGTATACTAATGAATATTAATTATAAAAATATGTACTTATCTAGGGATCCCATAAGTCCCGGTTTTTTAACCTCTGTTCCTGCGTCCCATCAATCATTTTGGGACTCTAAAATGTGTCGGATAAAAAAAGTTCGATATTTCCCGTTAGATTGCCGTTATTTTGATTAAGCGACTTTTATTTCCCGATCAACTGTTGGTAAGAAGGATTTGTTCGTTCGTGTCATTCCTTTTCGTTCTTATATTTATTGGTGAGAGTTAAGTTAGTATTCAAAAGAATTGCAGGCAGTTTATTAAAATTTTATTTTAATAAGAAATATAACAAAATGCTCGAAAGAAATCGTTTTCAATAAAAATTTAAAGGCGGGGAGGTTAGAATCACTAAAAGTAAGAAATTTGGTATTTGGTATGGAAATTTGGTTCATTAAAATTTTATTTTAATAAAACGGAACAAAATGGCAGAAAGAGTGTTTTCTGTGAAAATGTAATGGCAGTAAGGTTTGAATCACCGTAGTAAGAAACTTAGTGAACTGAAGTTGGCTGCCCTGCGTGCCTTTATACGAACATCGAATGCTGCCACGTGTGGTACAGGTCCAGTGTTGCCAGAGGTACCACATTTTCGTTCAATCCACATCGAGCCATGTAGATGACTAAAAAAATCCTCATTTTTCACAATTTGTGAAAATGATCTCGAGTAGTATTTGTGTACTTACATTGTGTAAACATTCTACAAATGTTATTCAAATTTTCCAAGTGTTACAAAACTCTTTGTTTGGAAACAAAAATTAATTGAACTATAATTTAACATAAAATAATCAAATACTTTGTCTTTTTATGTATATAACACAATAGTTTACATAAAATGTTTCAAAATTTGCATGAATTTTGTGCAAATATTTGCGTCATTACGTTAAAAGCGGTCAAAAATTTTCAAAAATGTCATGCAAATTTTGTGTAAACTTTGTACAATTGTGGTCATCAGTGTTACTTTTTTACTTTACTATTTTAAAAAAACATCTTGTATTCAATTTATTGGAGGCCTTTGAGGGTTCTGCCGGCCCCGGTGGGAGTCAGACATGCCAGGATCCTGGTATTTTCGCCAGGATTTTAATGAAGATACCATGTATCAGAATGATATCTTGGAACGTTTAAATACCAGGATTTTAAGTATAGGGTAATTGATGATGCACGATTTAATATCAATTATAGACTTTTTTATTCAATAAATTAAATATCAACGTTAAAAATATCTACGATATTTATGAAATCACTGGCCTAAAAACATTAAGGGTGACATCACATGTTTTCTCCCAGCACATTCTATAGTAGGAAAAGATACGTCTTAGTCTTCCATTTAGTTTATAGATATAAAATGAATTGATGTCAAGTTTAATGAATTTCCTGTGCGCGTTAAAATCATAAAAATTATAATACGAACAATGTACGAATTTAAATCAATTTACATTGGTACCAGGAATTTAAGTGAAAGTACCAGGATTTTAGAAGGTTGGTTCTGGGATATCATTTTATCATCTGGCAACGCTGGTCCCGAATACAAAATTCCCAACAAACGGTATTTAGAGAGGAAGTTTTGAAATTCTTTCATACCTGTTCTCGTGTTGTTTCACAGTACAAATTATTTTTTATTTTTTCGATTGTCTGGTGCCGAGAAAGTATCAAAAAAATATTTTTGATGGTATAATTCATTTATTTTTCAACTAGAAAAGTTAATGTCAAGTAGGCGAAAAAATTAAATAAAAGAAACACGTGTTTGGGGTGTATAGTGGTGGTGGCAATCTGCGGCGGTTAAAGGGGAATTAAGAAACCTTTCAATAATCTTATTTCTGTATATGATAGTCATGGTTTAACGACTCATGTTATTTGCTCAAAGAAACGTTTCTAATACCGAAATCTACAGGATGAGATCCTGGGCATTCAATTACATTTTCTGCTAGTTTGGTGCTTGTCGATGCTGTCTCACATCTTGAAAAATGTGATCAAAATCTAAAACTGTATGATAAATTGAGTTAATTACTTAGTATTCCTCGCAATTGAATTGCACATGTACCTTTCTATTCGGTGCAAGTAAAATATTCTGCAAAGAGTAGAGTTGAACTTGCCCGATTCTGCATTTTCGAAACACTTTACATAGCTTTCTCAAGGGTAAAAAGCTTTCTAAGTTTGTTTGTAACTATCAAGGAGGATTGAATAATTACTTCAAATATTTACAAGAAAGTGTTATGAATTGTTCCAGGAATATCTGTTCACGGAACTAGAATTGAAAATTTGTTTCCCACTTCAATTGCAATGTGTATTTGCATTTAACATTCTGTAAGCACAATGGAAGCTAAATTTATACATTTTAAGCAAATAAACACGTTTTGTATCAACTTTCCCTTTTAATATGGAAGGATAGGGAAGAGGATGGGGTTTCACGTGCGAGAATTCTCGCACGGGTACGCTAGTCATGTATTAGTTCTAGACTAGTATATTAGTACGCTCCGCCATCGTTTTTAGTGCTGGCATTCTCATGCCTCAGTCCCCCTTTATCCAACCCCCTCGCTGTCATCTCCTAGCTTAGCAAGCTTCTAGTCTCATTCCACGACACCCGTTCGTCCTCGCCCCGCAACACACGGAAACGGCCAAAAACAATGAAGCTCAGGTGGACTGGGAATTGCATATGACTGAAGCGCCATATTGTACTTCACCACCATGTAGTGGAGAGTTATGACAAAGTGAACTGGTTCGGTGGCTTAGAGTGAAGTCGCTCGCCTTTTCAGCAAAGAGGTCCGCGTTCTATTACCGGACAATCTCATGTAACATTTGGAACAACACGGGTTACGCTGCTTGAAAAGGGCTGGTCCAACCCCTAAACCCTACCCCTCCCCTAATTCCTTCCCAATGTAGCCGCTGAGTAGTGATGCGGAAGCACGTCTTAAGAGGCGCGTAGCAAGAGAAGCTTCCTGGCTCTTGACAACTGACTGAAACGAGACGTGACAAAGAGAGATAATGATAATGGAGGATTATTCCAAATGCACTAATTAAAGTTGGATACTCATGTTTCTGGCCTTTATACCTGACTGTGTCCAAAAACACCACTGCAGTGTTTTCGCAAGCATTGAGAGTAATATAAGTTGAAGTTGCAAGAAATTTCCTCTTGTGATGTAAACTTTCATGTCAAATATTATTTTTAATATTTTTTTACTATAAAGAAGTGATTAAAATGTTTTCTAATCAAGTTAATCATCAGTTGATACATGTTTATTTATGTAAAATAGTGTGAAATAAGTTTTGAAGGTAGTATCTCTTGTATAATTCTCAATGTAATTGTACACTCATTGTAACATTACATTAATTGATATCTTGAACGTGTATTATTAATTTGCTTGTTTATACGTTAATTTTTCAAAAGCTGTTTCGTTGTTTCTTTTCAGGTTTTGCTCAATTTTTTTCCCAGTTTGCACTCGTTTTGAACAGTGCTCAAATCTGGCAACACTGCCTGATACTCTTCTAATGCGCTATTGCCCGTTTTTTGATTTCGATCTTTCGCGTCAAATCACACTTCCTGTCTCTCGCATTGTCAGCTCCCTTGATAGGCAGCAATTTCATCACGAAACGGCTCTTCTGCAGTCTAGGACGAGCATGGATCTCTCTGATCGAAAAGAGTGCTCTGCAAAAGAAAAGCTATGGTGTTTATTATGCGGAAAATTTAAGTCTGAACATTTGGGGTCGTGCACTACCAAGATGAGAACTTGCGACGTACTTAAGGTAATGTCGCTGCGAGATCCATGACGTGAACAATTCCGCCATTTTATTGTACCCTGAGTTAATTATGCAAACATTTTTTTTCTTCATTTGTTAGAATTAAATATGAAGCCACACAAATTAGTATATTTCTTTGTAATAAATAAGCAATATTTTTGTTAATTTTTTTAACGAGAGGCTCTGAGAGCAAATAATTTCATGTACAGACATTATGCTATCTGCTAAAGATTACTTACAAAAAGTGAATTTTTGATGATAAATGAAAATACTGGAATAATATGTTCACTAACCAGATTTAACCTGACCCATACATCTCACAACCCAAGAACATTCCTTGATTTCCAGGAGTGTACCATTTGTAAATTAGTGAGCACTAAAAAATTGTTGCTCAGCCCATTTTCATGCAACTAATAGGTAATAATTACTGCAAGTATCTATTCTGTAAATTAATATCAACACAATTTAAACATTTCAAAAAAAATGAACATCTAAGTGGTCTTTAGGAGAATTTATCAATAATTTCAAAAGCTGTGAGTTAAAACTACATTTTATTCATCAAAATAAAAATTGAATTAATTTGAATGTGTTACTGTACTTCCAGTGTATTCGAGAACAAGGTGTGGAACCTGGACAACCCCTCACACTACCTTCTGGCAAAGCAAAATTAAAAGGTGCATCAAACAAGGTGCCAAAACTCGAATTTATTTTTTACAAAAATGGGTAATTATGATTTTTATAACATTTTATTTTCAACATTTCCTCTGAAGAATGGATTTGACATACATTTCTTCTTTTTATTTTCAGGAAAGAAAAGGGAATATTTTATGAATTCTGAAAGTCTTTAAAAGAACAAAAGTTTAGTACATTTTGTTAATAAAATTACTTATTTCAACTTAAATGTAAAAGATTACTGTACTTTTCAAAAGATTTTCAAATTAGTTTATGATACCTTTGTAAATAATTTTGAAAACAATTTCAATATCCAGTGAAATATTAATTTTAATATTGGTTGTATGAAATTTTTGCAAATAACTTTATTATAGTTTAATATTTTGAAAGTGATATTTTAAACGTAAAATTGATGTGCCTAATTTTATTTTGACCATATTACATTTTCATTCATGACCAAAAATTCAAATTTTAAATGAAATATCTATTTTTTGCAAGTGCTATTTAAATAATACTCAGTTATACATATGCCATTTAAAAGCAAAACAATTAGACATATTATTTCAATTTTATTAACATATAAGCATTTTCTTTGTGTACTCCAGTTGAAATATTTGAAGAGTATTTGCAGTGCATTCAATAAAATTATAACATGGGCAAGATTTTTATGCAAGGAAACAGTAAACTCAGTCTGATTGAAGGATGATGCAATGAAAACATTAAATTTCCCCACCTTCCTCTAAATTTGTATACATTTTCTTACAATTTGTTTTTCTTTTTTTGAGCTGAAAATAATATAGTTTACTTTAGAATAATATGATCACACATTATGTACATGTACATGATATGTTAATTATGATATATTATGATTATGTACATGATACTAATTGTATTATTATCTGACAGACAATACTGATATTTTCCAGTGCTAATGTAAATTTGTATCTTTTTAGATAAACTATATAAAAGAAATGTAAAAGAAAACCATATTATTTCATCAGTTGTGATTTGTTTTAATTTTGAAACCTAAATCAACAATATTAAAATTACACGGAAGGTAAAATATTTATCATTTTGAAATGAAGCTTATTAAAATCTTCAACTTTTTTAATTTTGAAGAAACATCCTTTTCAAAACAAGAAAATTAATTGACGACAGCATTGAATGAGCTTTTTTTATGAAATTAAGAATTGTTATTCACAAACTAGTATTATTTTTGTTTTCAAACTGTTTTGTCAAATAGTTTAAAAATATCTTTGTTACCAATTTGGTGTAGCATCTAGGGTAGATAGAGTCACAGAGATAAGTTTACAACAAATATTTTACCCATGTTTCCAACAAGTGTAATATCGATTCTAGTACATTTCTAGTAAACTTAGTAACTTACGATGGAATCAATAGTTTAAATATAAAAACAATGAAAATGAAAGTGTCTCAATATACACTTCATCACCTGATGGGGAGCAATAGGCTGGCAAAGTGGAAACAAGATATTATTTCACATCCTCAAACATTATAACAAGCAAACATTAAAGAGAATTAAATGAAAGGTTGCTGTATTTGTGTCTTTCCACCCATAGTGGAATAGGGTAAGTTAACTTTTATCCATTTATCAATAAAAAAAAAATCAGTAACCACAGGTACCACAAATGTGTTTTCTAATTTCTAACTTCATATTCAAAACTCGCTCTCAGCAAGAAATTTTCCTACTTAAATAGTTTCTCATGTTATTTTTATTTATTGTTTATATATTGTTTTAACGTGTGTTTTTCCACAACATTTTTGTTATTTTTCGAAAAATCTATACTTAATTGGTAACAATGTTTTAAAAAGAAAATGCTAAATTACAAAAGTTGGTAGCATTTTATCGATCTTATTAACTGATTTAGAAGTATTTCTTCTACAGGACTGTGGTTAGACAGCAAAAGACGGGAAAACGCTAGAAAAAATTCCTTCGGGCCTTCGTAGAGTTAGGGCCGGAGTTTCACCAACAGCCGAGTAAGTTGAAGAGTCACGTTACCCGACGAGTAGATAACCATTTACTCCACAAGATAGTTAAACTCTCAGTAGAATATAAGCGTTCACCATGCTCTAGGGGTTATTTTAGCTCTAGAGTACATACTCTCCCGATTTTACTCCGCAAATCAACTCTGAACAAACACCAAATTTGAGAGCGATTCAAAGAGGCTTGCTGCGCGAGAATGACGCTGGAACCAATGCGGACCAACTGAACTTGTTGAAGTATCTGATTAAGCTTAAACAGCTGATTTGGTGAAACATAACCTCATGACAAATCTCGATCGTCATAATTAAAACCATTCCATTCTCTCTCGCACACCTTTGTCCTCGCCAACTAGTGGGATAATCTCCGAATCATTGCTGAATCGTCTTCTAAATATATATTCGTAATCGTCGAACCTTAATAACACTTCGGAGGTACATGCACGTTGAAAACTGAATTTACTCCGTACTTGACCCGACGGATTTCGCGGTTGGTAAAAGTTACTCTCGAATTTACTCTTGTGTAAGCGATTTACACTCGAGTAAAATGTTGGTGAAACGCTCCAAGAAGTTACTCTCGAGTAAATGTGATTTACTTCAGAGTAAACTCTTACTCTTCGTTTGGACAAAACCGGCCCTTAGTATAGGATCGAAGCATAGGGGAAAACTTGGCGAGGGAGTTCTGAATACATAGTACATACAAATAAAAAAAATACCTTTTTTTCAGGACCATCCGCCCCCCTTTTCAGTACTTGTCGACTGGACAATGTGCTGCGGAGTAGGCTACAGTGCAAACTTAATTAGTGTTAAAAATAATATAGTTGAGAAAAATGAAATAAATGTGTAGGCGACTTGGTGTTCGCTTAAATTATAATTGGCGGTAGTTACCTGAGAAAAAAATCAACATCGGAACATCTTTACATAAGGGGCATCAACGTACATGAGATATCATTGAAATATTTCAATGATCACGGAGGATCTAAATCATAAGTTCCCAAAGTGGTTTCTACAGACCCCCATGGGAGTTTTGTTTAACCTCTTAATCCAATGTTGTATGTTTGGAAAATGCTACGGCCAAGGGTTTATCGGTTTACATCCACCGTTAAGTAAGTAATGGTGAAATTATCTTGATTGTGAAGTAATTTACATTTAGATTTATTTAGTCAAAAAGCAGTAAAAACTGTACGTGAGCTATGGGAAGAAGATAATTTGCGCACGTTTCCTTGAGTTCCAGAATTCCTTCCCATTATTTTAACAATAAATAGTTGGTTGAGTAAAGGTTTAAAATAAATAAATTAAAAAATATATTAATAAAGCGCGATTTAGCAATATTTGAAAAAACTAGACATTTTCGTTCCCGGGTGGAAACCATTGGCTGATTAGTAGACCTGACGTGAACTCTTATCATTTATTACGGTAAAGCATACATGTTATCCGGTATTTTTGTCCCATTCTTCCTGGCACTTCAAGATAATTATCAATTGCTACATTTTTTCAAAGTGAATTTACAATCTATTCATACATGAGAACGATAAGTAAATTTACTGTCAGCGTTGAATCAGCGTTGATCGAAAAAGATACTCTTTCTCTCCATTGATACAGTTGATTACACACAAGTACACTTCAAAGTTTGCGAAGCAAATCTAAAGGTTTCAATTGTTTAAGACTTCTTATTTCCAAACTGTGATTTAACAAATTTATGACTAAAGTATTTGTACGACATTCTAATTTTTAATACCATTTTTGCTACAAACGAATGAGTCTTTTACTAGTTAAATTCTGTTAGAAATACATTACATCAGTATTACTGATTCCAATGCGCGCAGAAAGTTTAAATTTGCATACTTATGCGAACATTTTAGAAGCGTTATAAAATGCCTCCAAGTGTGCGTATATGCGACTGTGCGGATGTGCTGTTCCAACACTCGCGGCTAGACCACTTCTCGTACACCAATCAAGACATACAAGGTGTCATTCGATGCGTCTGTCTCCTGATGGGGAACTGATTTGTGTTCAGATCCGGTCAAAATATTCGAAGACATTTCCAAACACGTGTTTTGGCGCTGCGGTAATAGCGATAGTCCAGGGAATTAAACCAACGCCTCCTAAATCAATATATCTAGGTGGCGTAAACACTTGCACCCAAACGTATTTTTCGCACAATACACCATCATATTCTTTCACGACTTCTTTCAAGACATCTTTAAGTGAACAATTGAATTAACACGTAAATCGCGCTGCACATTGATTTCAATTTAGATTCGAATTTATTTTAAAAAATAAATTTGCGAAAACCTACAAACAGTACTGCCTTGGAACGTAATAAATGCGAAAAATTTCAAGTGAATACGGAGAAAACTAAACTGAGAGAAAGGCCAGAGAAAGTTATATTCGACTTTGCACTTATACGTTCTTAGATAAATGTGACAATACCAAATTCTTATTAAACCTCACTAACACCTTATTCACATAAACATTCAAAACAGTCGCCTTTTAATGATAGATTCGCATACAAAACTATTAACAGTCGCCTTTTAGAATTCAGTTGAACTCGAGTACCGCCTGCAACGATAACCGATTCGCTCTTGCAACTCAATTTCTCACCCTTTACACTCTAGGGTTTGGTACGTTGGTCAAGGCCAGGCTGTTTTCTCCCCGCCGCAACACGTTTTATAGTGCCAAGCGAAGTTCCAAGAGGAGTGTAGGTTCCCTCAAAAAAGGTTGTAAGAGTCGAACCCTTAGCTGTAATTTTGATCGAACTCGCCTGACATGTAAATGATAGCGCATCCTTAGATCAAATATGACGCCTAAATACGTTGCCTTAGGTGCCCATGTCAGTTTTTTTTGTGACAAATGTATTTTGTTTTGGTGTAAAATGTTTAGTGCATTAGTGTTTGCAGCGAGTGTAACAGATTTCCTGCGGCTTTTACGCTGAGAAAGTCAAGTGGTTTTGTTCCGCCCTCTTCAGCGTCAGATTTACCTGTTTTTGAAGTATTTCCAATATATGGTCTAGGTTTATTCCTCTTGCTAAAACGGCTATGTCATCAACGTAAAGAAAAAGCTGTAATCGTGGTATATGTGGGATGTCATTGACATACAGCGAGAACACTAGCGGAGAGAGGACGAAGCCCTGAGGGACTCCGGCCGCAATTCTCCGCTTTGAGA